ACACGGTGGACCCTCCGGGCCAGCTCTGCAGGGCAGGTCACAGCCCAGAGGACCCACAGAGGGGGAAGAAGCCAGGGAAGCAGCCGCTGGGGGAGGAGGCAGCGCTGGGGCTGGGAAAGGCTGCTGGCGCCCGCACGGCAATGCCAATGCGGTGAGGACCAGAGGCAGCTGCTCTCCAATCCCAGAGGCCTGGGGAAAGCAGGAGCCGAACACAGGGGCCTCCTCCTGAGCTGGTTCTAAGAGGAGTGACTTCCTCAGGGAAAAACAAGGCTCCAGGTACTAGGAAGAGGAGGAAGCGTTGTTTTACAAGAGGATAGCAGATTCGGAGATGCCCCAGAGAAGGAGAAAGAAGCACAGTGGCGGAGAGCCGGGCGACAGAGGGACAGGGCTGGAGTGCACGGGGTGAGAGAGCAGGGACGGGCGCCCGGGGGTGGGGCTGTCTACCTGAGCTCCATTGGCCCTCGGCACAGCACCCTGCATTCTCCCTCCCCTAAACTTTCCACTGTGGGTGCCTGAGCTCTTGTCACCAGCCAGCTCCTCCTCCTTGACATCCTCATGGGACTTGCCCTCAGCCTCCACCATGATATGAGGCTTTCCCTGGGAAACCCCACCTCCCACCACCCCTCCCCTGGGGATCGCTTCCCTCCTCCCACTCCTCCTGGCCAGCTCGGCTTCAAAGACAGGGCCACGCCTAGCAGCTGCCTCCCTCCCCCCTCCATCTCTCCCTCCCGGAAGTCCGCACCACCCACATGCACCTCTCCCCCACGGCTCTCACTGCTGTCACAGCCAAGCCCAGGCCCTGTGCTCGCCTTGCCTGGATGACTGCAGCGCCTGCCTCACCATCTGCCTATCTGAGTTCCAATTCTCCCATCAGGGAATCCACATGTGGACAAGCCATTCGCCAGCACAGCTCCTTGTCCTCCACCAACAGCGTCTTCATCTCCTGTCCCCTTCAGCTGCTAGAGGCATGGCCCCATCTCTAACTTCCAACCACACAGAACCACTCCTCCAGCAAAACCTTGACCACTGACACCCCTCTCAGAAGACAGCTTGCAAGCTATCCGCCTCCTCCAACCCCTCACAGAGCGAGACACCAGCACACAGAGGGGCACACAGCAGGCGCTCAATAGTGTGCATTCCGTACTCTCTGTCCTCTGCATCAGCTCTAGGCCCCGTCCTCCTGCATCCTCCCTGCCCCGATGCCCTGGCCACCTCGGCCCTGTGCCTCCACCAGGCCTGCCTAAGCCACGCCTGCCACCTCCACCATCCACCTCCCGGTCTGCTTCTGGCCACTGAGCATCATGAGGCTGTGCCACAAAGTCCCCAACCCAGAGTGGGTCCAGAAACCCTCCGTTTCTTAATGAACACCTCATTCCTCTCCCACAACTACTACTCCAAACGTTTTCTCATCTCTCCAGACACACAATGATGCTGCTATCTCCCCAACTCTACACCCTTTCTCCTTCTACCACCTCCAACATATAACTGTTCTTCCTGAAATGATCTCACATCTGCAAAGAAGAAAAATATGCAAAAGACAGATGATTGCCAGAGACGGGGAGGAGGGAAGAGTGGAGGGAATGGGAAGATGGTCAAGAGGTACAAACTTCCAGCGGTAAGTCATGGGGACATAAGATGCAGCATGGCGACTATAGTTAATCATGTAAAATTGCATATCGGGACGTTGCTAATAGACTAGATCTTAAAAGTTATCAGCACAAGAAAAAAGATTTTTTTGTAACTATGTGAGGTGACAGATGTAACTAGACGTTTTGTGGTGATCATTTCACAATATACACAAATATCGAATCAGTATAACATATAACGTGAAACTAACATGTTACATGTCAATTAGACCACAATCAAAAAGTATTAAGAGAAGAAAATACAAATGTATATCCTTCTGAGAGGATATGCAAAGAGATATTAATAACAGTTCTCGCTGAGTGGTAGAATTTTGAGTGATTCGTTTTTTACTTAGACTTTTCCACGTAGTCTACATTTCTCATAATTACTGTGTGTTCTCTTAAAGCAGAAAAACGGAAGTTGCTTGTTTGTTTGTTGGTTGGTTGGTTGGTTGGTTGGTTGGTCCTCCGCTCCCAGGTAAGGTGCTGTGAGGAGGACAGGGACGTGGACTCACAGGCGCTTCGTTTCCAGGCCCCAGCACACACAGGCTTGCTTTCAGGTAGCCTCTGGCCCCAGCGGAGAAATCATCGGGGTCTGAGAGCAGCAGCCACTTCCTGAGATAGGCGTGTCCTACGGGAGACAACGTCCGTGGGTGATCACGGAATGGGGAGGACCCAGGTCTGCAACCACATCCGGGAGCCGAGGGCGAACTACACGTGGGTGAGGTGAAGGACTCGTCCACTGGACAGGGGGCAGGACTCAGCTTGTAGAATAAAAGGTGCTTGGAGTGTGCAAGTAGGCTGGAGTCAGAAATGTGAACAGGAACCCCAAAGCCAGACTCGGGGCCATTTACCTCTCCCCTCAGGAAGTGACCGGGGCAGAAACCTGGCTGTGGGGAAATGCTAGACGTGTCACCCAAATGACCCGACCCACCCCTGTCCAAGGTGACCCAGCCTCCAGCTGCCTTTTCTTGGGGCCTTCCAGAATGAGCATCCCTGGCTGACCCGCTGAGACCTCATGAGGGCTGGATCCCCCTGGGGGGCCTGTTCCACCTGGAAAGTGGAAGCCTGCCCTCCCTCACTCCTGCAGCTCTCACCTCCACATCTTAAAAACCCCCAGGACCTAACTCCAACTCTACATCCTAAAACCCCCCAGGAGGAAACTGGGTGTCCCCCAAGCAGCCTCCAGACCAAAATGCAAGGACATGGCCAAGGTGACGAGAAGGTGACTCACGGGGCTCTCTGTAGACGGCACCCACATCTATCTGAAATTAAACAGAGAGAACACACATCAAACTCTTGCCCCTGGAGTGCTACATAAAGTGTGGTGCATCACATCAGCCCATGAAAAATCATGTTCTGAAGGGACTGCCCTTCTGGTAGCTGGACAGGATGCTGGTGATTTGTGAATCGCTTAACAAAGCCAGTTAGACCTTCAAAAAAAATCATGTTTTGAAGAACATATGGAGACAAGGGGAGATGTTCCTCCTTTGATAATACATGGGGAGGAAGAAAGCGGAATATTTTGTTGTTGCTGTTGTTATTGTTGTTGTTAATCCTCACCTGAGGATGTCTTTCCCACTGATTTTGAGAGAGAGAGGGAGATACATCCATTGGCTGCCTCCCACAGGCGCCCTAACCCAGACTAGGAATCGAACCCACAACCCATCCTTGCATGAGCCCATGCTTTAACCACTGATCTACACTGGTCAGGTCAAAAGTGGAATTTATTTTGATTAAAGTTTGGTCAAGTATATACGTGCATAGAAAAGAAAGAGGAAAGGAAATACAGCTGTAACTGTGCTCTTTCTGGGTGGTAAATTTGGGTGAGTTTTATTTTATTTTTGTTCTTTCCTGTATTTTATAACTTTCTGTAAAAAAAAAATCATAGATGAGGGTGATGTTGATGGTGGGAAACTGGGGGGAGGAGCGGGGATATGTGGGAACTCTGTACTGTCCTCTCAACTTTGCCATGAACCTAAACTGTTGTGAGAAATACTTTCTTAAATCATGGATTACTTTTATCATTAAAAAAAAGTGTTTTACCTTAACTGTTGGGTTCTCAGGACAAAAAGTGTTTCAAAGATTAGCGACTCCAAATATAATGAAGACCCATTTGTTACAGAATGACAGGCTGGAGCCCATGCCTCTGAAAACTGCCTCCCCAGGAAGAAAGATGTAGTGTTCCACCTGGTGACTTAATTCCCAGAGGAAAGGGGTCACGTTTTATTTGCATAGCAGGGGAGGTTAAAGTAAGCTGTGCCCTTTCTTCCCATTTGATGAATGCTTGAAGACTCAAAAATGAGGAAATCAGTAAGAATGACATTACAACAGCATTCAGGGAGGTCCCCATGGCTCGCTGCCTTCCCTGTGTGTAGCCTGTGAAAGCAATCCTCTGAGCTGAATTGTACGTTTCTCAGTTCTCCACAAGGGCCTGTTCACTTCTGCACTGTTTGAGACAAATAAGTGGGGGGGGCAGGCTCCCCTCGCTCCCCACTGCCCACCCGAGTGCCTCGCTGCACACCTGGGGCCCACTCCCAGCCCTGGGTGACGTGAGCCCCGGCACAGGGCGTCTCATTGGCCCTGATGGTCAGAACCAGGAGGAGCGCTGCCGAAACTCATTTGCACGCTGCCTGTCCAGGTGTCAGGACAAATACAAGTTAAAAATAAGAAGCTGAACTCCCCTAACAGAAATAAGGGAAGAGACTTCTCTTCCCTCTTTTTGGCAGAACATTCACCTTAACAACTTGCAAATGTTAAGTATTTTCTCTTTCTTTGAAATGGATCACTTTTTTAAATTTTTTGATTTTTTTTATATTTTTACTGATTTCAGAGAGGAAGGGAGAGGGAGAGAGAAATAGAAACATCAATGATGAGAGAGAATCATTGATCGGCTGCCTCCTGCATGACTCCTCCTGGGGATCGGGCCCGCAACTCAGGCATGTGCCTTTGGCCAGAATCGAACCCGGGACCCTTCGGTCCACAGGCCAACACTCTATCCACTGAGCTAAACCACCCGGGGCGAAATGGATCTTTTTAGAAACTAAATAAGCCTTTCCTCAGTTGTGTGACCCAGACGCATCTCCCCCCGGGTTCTCCCCATCTCTGTGGGGAGGGAGGGGCCTAACTTCAGGGCCTGCCTCGCTCCGAGGGGTAAAGTACTTCCTCGCATGAAAACATGAGCTTGTTTTCTGTTCCCTCTGGATAAAGTCAACTAACAACACAGACGGTCACCCCGAGGACCAGGTCGCGTGAGGACGGGCGACGTGTGACCTGCCCTGTCAGGCCCACTCACTGGAGGACGAGTTACGTTCATCTTGAGAACCTGTGGGGGTTGGGTTCTGCCAGCTGGGCGACATGAAAAGACTTCTGCCCTTCAGCCTCTCGGGGGAGTGCCGGGGACGCACACCGCACGCTGGCTCAATGATTCTCAGTCACACAGGTGCTCTCTCCCTCCTACCTCTGTGGAGAGGATTTCCAGGCCGGGAGACCCTGTTTTGTTAATTCTATTTTGCCAACACCGACCAAGACAGGATTTCTGAAGTGCCAACCCTGGCACATTACCCACAGAGCCTCCACTAACACGGATACGCGAGAACTGGCTGCTGGCAAAGAAAATAAAGCATTACCCGGAACTCCCCGATGAGAGCGTCAGTCCTGCGGGAACGGGAGTCCACCACCTGGAGGGAAAGACAAATTAAAACTCTCACTTACAAGTAAATGTTGGCCCAGACAGGGTCCAGCCTGATAGCTCTTCCCCCCCACACACTCTACTCCAGAGATTGTGCTAAGCCATGTTTAACCCGCACAAGAACCCTGTGAGTAGGTGCTATTATTCTCCCCATTTCACAGATGAAGAAACAGAGGCAAAGAAAGAGAGATTACAAGACTTGTACAGAATCACACAACTCCTAAATGGCAGCGGCAGGGTGAGAATGCACTTTGGCTCCAGAGCCCATACTTTTAGCCACTAAACTATATTGTCTTTTAGAGAAAAGGAGAAAAGAGCTGCCAGGGCCCAGAAGAAGAAAATCTTGGCCAGAAATGGCACATGGACAAACAATCTTATATATTAAAAGCCTAATATGCAAATCGACCAAATGGCGAAACAACTGGTGGACCGACCGGTCTCTATGACACGCACTGACCACCAGGGGGCAGACGCTCAACGCAGGAGCTGCCCCTAGCCCGCAGGCCCCAGGCCAGCCAAGGTGGGTGCCAGCACGCCCCCCCATCACCCCTGCAGCAGTGGTGGCAGCAGGGGGCGCAATTTGCCGGCAAGTAGGCGGCATCAGGCAGGCCAAGGCAGGTGCCAGTGGGGGCCCCCTGATCGCCCCGCCGGTCACCTCACAGATTGGCCCTGATCGCCAGCCAGGTCTAGGGACCCTACCTGTGCCTCTAGTATAAGATGAAAATCAATGTTCCCGCTCAAGAATGATTTCAGGACCCTGACCCGAGACACCTGGGGGTGCTGAGCAGCGGGCTCTCCCCTCTCAGCTGCTGCCTCCATCTGAACTGCTGGAGGCATTTCCGTGACCAGCAGCCTTGGGGTGAGCCTCTGACAGCACTCATGCCCTGGGCTTCAAGGCTTCTCTGTCACACACGTGCATGGGTGACGGGCATGTGCGTGTACACAGCCCACAGAGGACCTCTGGTCTCCCAAACGTACCGTGATGAAGATGGGCTCATCGAACAGCTCCGCTGGAGAGTCAAACACGTTGAAGAACAGAGTCTGTTGGTTCAGGGCAGAAGGGAGACGAGTGAGAGCCTGCCAATGCCCAGGCCCCCAGGCCCCCAGGCCCCCAGGCCGGGGAGAGAGTCAACCGCCCACCACAGCACTCGGGCTGGTCCACACGGAAACTGGAAATCGTGGAATGAGCTCAGCCCGCACTGAGCTCTGGGACCTGACAGATTCTGGGACGACCCTCCCCTGGCTCCACAGAGGTCGTCATCTCAGGGGCAGGGTGAGTGGCTGGCCCTACAGGATGACAGGGATGTGGAGCTGTGGGAGCCCAAGGCAAGAACACGAGCTAAACCATCTCTCCGGTTCCTCAAACAGCCTGTTCACACCTTTGGGTGGCACATCTCTCCACCCAAAGTCAGCGCCTACGTAAACACTGAGGGGCTTGCCGGGCGCCTGCTGTGTGCTCCCTATCAGAGCCCACCAGGGCCCCAGCCCGAACCCCATTGCCTCCCACCTCATTGAAGAGGGGGCTGTTTCCCTTGTGGATCCGCGTCCGCCTGGTCTGCCCAGCGGCAGTGACCTTGACCACAGGCTTGATGTTCACCCCTGGCAGCTGGCGCCCCTCGATCACCTGGACCCTGATCTGAAAGCCAAGAGGAAAGCAGAAGTGGTCAGAAACACACACATCCCACTCCTCCCCCCCCAAAAAAAAAAATCAGAAATCTCGGGGACCATCCTCATTGCAGGTCTCAGGAAGGTTATTAAAGAGGAGAAACCCAGCAGGCGTGGCTCAGTGGTTGAGCATCAGCCTATGAACCAGGAGGTCACAGTTCGATTCCTGGGTTGCAGGCTTGATCCCCAGGCAGCTGATCAATGATCCTCTCTCATCATTGATGTTTCTATCTCTCTCTCCCTCTCTCTTCCTCTCTGAAATTAACAAAAACATGTATTTTTTAAAAAGACTTGGGAAAGCCTTGTGAAAACAGTCCCCACCCAGGTCCCTTGCTCCTATACATCCCACGTTTCCACATAAGAGCTGGCAGGCTACCCAGGTAAGCTACGGCATTAATTCCTGGCACCGGGCCAGGCATCCCTCCCCAGGTTCCTGCAGCCGCTGGCACCTCGGGCCCTTTGACACTGATGCTTTTAAGTGGCTTGAACATCCTGCAATGACAATTCCCTCAGAGCCTGAACTCAGATAGGCTCCCCGTCTCTGCTCTTTATAAGATGCAACGCTGTTCACATTCTGAGAAATAAACTAAGAGTTTCCTCCACTGACTATAAGTAAATGAAGGTTTCAAAAGTACGACATTTTAAAATATTAAAACAATTTTCATGGGAAAAATAATGTTTACTGGTTCTAATTCCTAATCAGTAGTTACGTATTGATTAATTTTTTTAAACTAGCATTCTGGAGAAGAATATATTATTAATAACAATGGAAAGGTAGATGAGTGGTTTTTATTCTCTTCTTTTTGCTGTCTTTTCCACATTTTCTACAATATAAATATTAACCTTCTAAGGAGGAAAAAAGGCAATAAGAACATGTCTTGGGAATAATAAAAATACGTTAGGATTTTGTCTTTCAGGCAAACATAGTGTTGATAGCTGGCACGTTTGTCTAAATTACTATGATTTAAAACTAAAATATATTTTTACAATTTGTTGCACTTACTAAAGATTTGTTTCCTATTTTTTTAATATTATTTTTATTGATTTCAAAGAGGAAGGAAGAGGGAGAGATAGAAACATCAGTGATAAGAGAGAATCATTGATCAGCTGCCTCCTGCACGTCACCCACTGGGGTTCAAGCCCGCAACCCAGGTATGTGCCCTGACCGGGAATCAAACCATGACCTCCTAGTTCATAGGTTGACGCTCAACCACTGAGCCAGGCCGGCCGGGATGTTTCCTATTTTTAATTTTAAAAGTAGTTCTGAAGCGTTAAATATCACTAAGTGCAACTCTATCAAAATGGAACATTTTGTAGAATAGCAAACAGATAAACAAGGGACCAAAATTAAAAGGCAAATAAAATGGAATGGATTTTTGGATTAAAAATACGTCAAAGGGTTAATAGTGTCATTATCTGAAGAGGTTAAACAAATTCACATTTCACAGACTTTCAGAAAAATCATGGCACGAAGGAAGGGCATGGATATCGGGAGAGGAAACATAGCCAGGCAGCTTCTTAGCTGATGCTCACCCTGCATGCCCAAGGACCACACCTGGAGCAGCAGGAGCTAGCGAGCCAGGTAAACTCTGGTTGGTAAACAGATACGCTGAATCTCTGCAGTGTACCTCCCCCGCGGCCCCCCTCCCCCCCCCCGCCGTCCTTTTTAAGAGCAAAACCAGGGCTGGGCAGAGGCTTATTCTGAGGCCCTATGATGTGACTGCCCGGTGCACACCTTCCCCGGCCCCGGAAAACCAGGCTTCCCCCAGGAGCACTGCTAGGGTCTCCCCTGAGTTGGGACAGACAAGCAGGCACCGGCACTACAGCGTGGGCCCACTAAAGGGGAGACTGTGGCCGCAGACGGCCCTTACCTGGAAGTCCTGCGGCTTGTCCGACAGCACCTTCCGGGGAGCGGGAGCCCCTCTCTTCCTTTTATTCCCCGGGTGGTACGGGGGAGGGTGGGAAGCTGGCTTCTTGGGCGTGGAAGGAGCCCCCGGGTCTGGGGGGCCGGTCTGGTCCAGGAAGGGCTCTGCCTCATCTCCCGTGAGGCCCTGGTCCTCCGTGTCCTCCTCTCCTCCTGTGTCTGGGAGGAGAGGGTGCTCGTGAGTCCTGGTCCCTCCGGCCCTGCCCTGGGGACCCAGCCAGGTAAAGGAGGGTCCACAGGGCACGGCACCAATACTCACCACCACCCCAGCCCCTCTCCTTCCCCCATCGATGAGCCAGGATGGATGAGGAAGGAGAAGAGACGCGTCCAGCAGCTACACGTGGGGGCGGTCAGTCCAGTTAGTCAACAGGAAGGAGAGAGAATGGCCCCCCGCCCGTCCTGCAGGGTGAACCCCTGGCCACCGCGGCCCACGCCCGTGAGCTGACGACGGCAGCGGTGAGATGGTTACGGGTAACGGGTGGGTCAGGACAGCCCTGGCTGTGTCTCACCCGTGGGGGCCAGCCACTTCTTCCCCGAGTATCTTGTGTCCACAGTGCTGTCACTGAGCAGGGACCACGTCTCTGCCCGGCTCTGTCCCCCACCTGGCACGTGGGCGGGCACAGCCCGGGAGGGGAGGAGGGAGTGGGTAAGGGAAGCCAGCCAGCTCCCCTCTCCCCCCAACCCTGCTCCCCCTGCCACCCCAGCCCCACACGAAGCTCAGGAGCAGATGCCACATCTGGGGGGGACTGTCCCTCTCACCACCTTCCAGGCGGGACCGGGAACTGGGCACCTCTGGGAGCCTCCCCTGTGCAGTGTGAACCTACCTCTGTCAGAGCCACCTCAGAAGTTGCCCCAGAACATTCGGGGCCCTGCAGGCTCCCACCCTCTGTCCCCAGAAGCACCCCTCCTTCCTCCCTCCACCTGTACCCCAGCCAGAGTGACCTCCCATCGCCAAGCTCAGACAGGCAGGCCTCAGGGAGACGCCGCCCCCTCTCCAAGAGCCCGCACAGGGCTGGGCTCCCGGACTGGCCTGGGGCACCCAGAGACAGGGCTCCACACGGGGACAGGGGCTCCACACGGGGACAGGGGCTCCACACGGGGACAGGGGCTGCTCAGGTTGTGCTGCGTCTGCCTCCAGGTCTCTTTACCAGGAGAGAAGCTGTAGACTCTTTTCCGTGGGCGAGTCCCCACCTGGCCCACCTGTGTAGCTTCCTGCCCACCCAGCAGGCCCGGCCACCCAGGCCCCTGACTGTCAGCCAGCCACCCCGGGCTGGGTCCTCCCTGGACAAGCCCAGCAGAGGCAAGTGGAGCGAGCGGAAGCAACCGTGGGACTCCGTGTCTGCTCTTTTCACAAATGATAAACTATAGGCCCAGAGAGGGGGAGTGGCCAACCCAAGGTCACACAGCTACTGGGTGTCAAAGGTAAGACTGTAACTCATGTCCCCTGACTTCGACCCAGAGCTCTTTCCAGGAAATTCCAGCCCTTTTGTCCCCTGTCATCACCAAAGGCCTGCTAGGTCCCGGGCAGGGAAGCACTGGGGTCTGGGGAGTGGGTGGGGCCTCCGGCATCACCTGGGAAAAGGCCCCGTCCCACAGGCATGTCCTCAACACAGCACCCACCCATGCGGGGCGCACAGTGGGAGCACCCGCCCAGGCACAGCTCCCTGCCTGGAGCCGAGTGGGGCGGGGGAAGGGGGGGGGGCCGCGTCCTCCCACTAATCCGAGTGGCACCTGGGGAGCATGCCTCCCGCCTTTCTCTTGCATGGCAGAGGCAGTTCTCAGGATCCCCCCCTCTCCTGTGTCCTCCCCTGTGTCCTCCCCCACCCCCCAAGGCCGCACAGGCTGCTGAAGCCTCACTGTGGCCCCGCCCCCATGCTCGGGAGCCTGGCTGGGCCTCTTCCCTGGGCCTCCCAAGGAGAAGGGGCTCCTCACCAGCCATCATATCCTGGTCAGGCAGAGTCGGGGAGGGGTCCAGAGGAGTGGTAGGTGGGAAGAGGGGCACAGCTCCGGGGAGCGGCGTGTAGGACACCTGCAGGACCAGTGAGGCCTGAAAGAGAGGGGGGAGGGGAGCAGGTGGGTGCACTGGCCTCAGACCACCGCCCTCCACCATCTTTCCTGTTCCTTTCATTCCTCGAAGAGGAAGACGGCTCGGAGGAGGGTCAGGTTTGCAGGAGGCTGTGGCAAAGCCACCCCTAGGGGGCCCTCAGCATAAGAGCCCAGGATCTGAAGTCAGGTTCCACCACCCAGGAGCTGTGCAACCTTCGACAAGATCTGTAGCCTCTCTGGGCCTCAGTTTCCTCCTCTATAAAACAGGGGTAGTAATAGCAATAGCACCTTCCCCCGGGGGTCCAGTGAGGATTAGATGAGTGGACAGAGCACATCATAAGCTTCTATAAATGAATCAGAGCGTGGCCAGCCCAACGTCACACAGCTACTGGGTGTCAAAGGTAAGACTGTAAGACTGTAACTCATGTCCCCTGACTTCGACCCAGAGCTCTTTCAAATTCAGCAATCATCAACACAATTCTTAGCCACTCCTAAGAATTTTTCAACTCTCAGCCCAGGCCTGACCTCTCTGCTCAGCCGAGAGCCGAGGAGACCAGGGGATTGCCTCCACAGACAGCTCAGCCTGTTCTGCTCAGACCCAGCTCCGAGACAGGCTTCCTGAGCCCTCTTCACTCCCAAAGGCACTTCTGTCCCCACCTCACCTCCCGCGGCTCCAGCTTTGATCATCCAAGAGGAGAGGGACAGGTCACATCACTGGAATGGACAGGGGGAGGCTGCCTGTGTCCCCACCCACTGACCCCCCCATGAGTGGTGCACTGCTCAGAGGGCCCCTGAACCTGAAGGAACAGTGCAGTCACGGCAAGCTCTCCAGCCTTGCAGCTCCTAGGCCAGTGGGGGCCTGGCCAGGCCTTCCCTGGAACCCCAGGGCCAACAGGCCTCCTGGGGTAGCCTTTTTATCGATCAAAGTAATAAGTGCTCTATTGAACAAAGGCAAAAGGAAACAATCTGCTATAATTCTACCACTATTTGCATCTCGATATCATTATCTCTAATGGCTTTTAAACAGTGTACAGCTCTGTTATATATAAAATGCTTTTCTTTTACTTCATGTTAGACAGTAAGCACGTCCCCAGGTTTTGACAAACTCTTTATAACTGTCATTGTTAATGATGCATAATACGTCTGAGCAGCTCTAGTGTAATTCACTAGGTACCTCTCTGAGCTGAGTAATCGTAGGGGTTTCCAGAAGGTCCTGGAGCAAAATGTGATCCCGAGACAGAAGATGCTCCAGGCCCTGGATGTCATCCAGCTCTGGGGCTTGAACCCTCAGATTGAGCCCTGAGCAGGGGCAGCCAGGCTAAGGAAAAGCAGGGCTGGTGGGGGGGGTGGGGGGCTCAGAACCCTGAGGAAGGAGGCCTGCCTAGCCGCTCCACATCCCAGGAGACCCTGCAGGAGGCCTGGGAAGGCAATGAGACCCTTTAAATATCCGGGTCCGAGGCACTGCCTAACCGCCGCTGCAGGTTCCTACACCACCACCAGGTGTCGCCACGTGCGCAGCCAGCGTGCCTCGCACTAGCATCCCAGGCTCCTGCAACCCAAAGAAGGAAAAAAAGAGGGGAGGGGGGGCGCCCCAAATATCCAGGCCCTCCCGTGCCCAGCCTGACTCCTGGAGACTCCAATCAGGTTGGGGTGGATCTGGACAAAAGGAAATTATTTGTGCTCTTTGGAGAAATAACTAATTGCAGGGTTAGGCCAGGATTGGTAGAAGACAAGCCGGAAACATTTTATGCCAGAAACCAAGGAAATAATCAAAAAATGATAGAAACTGGGGGGTAGGGGAGGGCAGGGGATTGTCAAGGGCGGGAAAAAAGGAGACATATGTAATACTCTTTGTAATACTTTAAGCAATAAAACAATTTTTAAAAATGATAGAAACATGTCAAAAGAACAAAGAGTCAGTGGCTGCCACTGGCCAAATCTGGGACAATTTAAACATGAAAATAAAAGATATTTACATTAAACCTTTGACTAAAAGAAAAATACCTGATTCCAAATGGAAATAAATAAAACAGGAAGGAAGCTTTTTTCTTACAGTGAAATGCCAACTGATTCACACACAAAAAAAAATAACTAATTTAGAACACCACCATTTAACAATCATCAACACAATCATTAGCCCTGGCCTGTATGGCTCAGTTGGCTGGAGCATCATCCATTCACCAAGGGTCAAGGGTTCGATTCCCAGTCAGAGTATATACCCAAATTTCAGGTTCAATCCCCAGTTGGGGCAAGTGGGGGAGGTAACCAATCCATGTATCTCTCTCATATTTTTCTCTCTCTCTCTCTCTCTTCCTCTGCCCCTTCCTCTCTCTCTAAAATCAATTAAAAATAATAATAATAAACCCAACCAAGAAGCAACAGTGGTTGTTAAAACTGATGGGTAGCCCTGTCGGTGTGGATCAGTGGTTGAGCGTCGACCTATGAACCAGGAGGTCACGGTTCCGTTAAATTCTGGTCAGGGCACATGCCTAAGTTGCTGGCTCCATCCCCAGTAAGGGGCGTCCAGGAGGCAGCCCATCAGTGATTCTCATCATTAATATTTCTATCTCTCTCTCCTCCTCCCTTCCTGTCTGAAATCAATAAAAATATTTTTTAAATTGATGGGTAAAATTTGAATGAGGCACAAAGTACCTCCCCCTCAAATTCTTACTTCTTAGGGCAATGGATTTGGGGTTAGTGGAGAAATTCAGCAAATGCTACTTTAACCAAAAAAAAAAAAACAAGCTCAATAGCACAGTAATGAAACAAATCAGAGTCATACCCTCCTGGATACAACAGGGCAGCCCAGCATCACTGTGTGATTTTCCTGCCAAAGATGCACAACCTACATCTAATTGTGGGGAAACATCAAACTGAGGGACAATTACAAGCCTGTATTTCCAAAAATGTCAAGGTTTCAGGTTATAAAAGTCAAAGAAAGACTGAGGAATTCTCCCAGAGGGAAGGAGACTAAAGAATCAAAACAACTAATACAACATGATCCTTAATTGGATCTTTTTGCTCTAAAGGACACTGTTGAAAAGGTTGGTGAGCCCGGCCAGAGTGGCTCAGTTGGCTGGAGCATCGTCCTGTACACCAAAAGGTTGCCAGGCATGTTTGCAGGTTCAGTCCCCAATTGGGGTACTTATGAAAGGCAAACTGATCTTCTCTCTCTCTCCCTCTCTCCCTCTCTCCCTCTCCCTCTCTCTCTCTCTCTCTCTCTCTCTCTCTCTGATCTTCTCTCTCTCCCTCTCTCTCTCTCTCTCTCTCTCTCTCTCTCTCTCTCTCTCTCTCTCTCTCTCTCCTCTCTCTCTCTCACTGTATCCTTGGGTGAGGGTTACAAAAGAAACTCGGAGGTGGATCACTGCATTAGATGCAGTGCTATCTCAATGACCGTTTTATCAGTATTGACGGTTGAGTTATGGTTCCGTAGGAGAAAGTCCTTAATCAGAGAAAATACACACTAAATTCAGGAAAATTGGCAACTTAGTCGCAAATGGTTCAGGACAAAAATCTTCTTTATCCTACTCTTGCAGCTCCTCTCTGAACCTTAACTTTTAAGTAAAAGGTTAAGAAACCCTTAGAAATCTGCTTCTGCTCTAACCACGGGGTTCACACTCAGCAGAGACACACAGCAGCCCCCCCCCAACCCCCCCGCCCCCATGCTGACTCCTTCTCCAGGAGTCATGTGAGCTCAAGACCAGCCACGGAGTTTGCAGGCCTAGTGCAAAACAGAATTTCAGGCCCCTTGTTACAAATTTGCTAAGAATTTTGAAATGGTGACAGCAGAGAATTCAACCACATGCCCACGGGGCTGGCCTGCACGTGGCTCAGCCTGAGTGGATCCTGCTTCCGAAAGAGGGGGAGTGGGACCCCACCTGAAATAGCTGGTCTGGCCTATTTTCATTCATTCGCTCGCTTATTCGTTCCCCCCACAAATACACACCGAGCACCTGCAAGGGGCCAAGCACTGGGATCCTGGGATACTTCCAGGAACAAAGCAAAGGCCCCGCCCCCATGGAGCTGACATCTAGCAGAGGAGACAGACAATAAATAATAAATAAATATATATATATATTATACAGCACGTGAGGAAGAAAAGAAAGGGTGAGCCAGGGCAAGTGGGTCAGGGGAGCAGGAGGGAGTGCAGGTTGCAGAGGTCCGTGGTCTGAGTGGACCCCAGTGAAGAAAATGGAGCAAAACTTAAAGAGGGCACAGCCTGGCTGTCCCCCAGCCCCAGGTTCTTCTAACACTTGGTGACTGAGGTCCCCTGACCCTGGGACCAGCTCCCCTTGAAGAACACCCTTTCCTATTTCTCAGGGCTCACCCTGCCCACCCTCCCCCTCCCACACCACCCGGGGGCATTTGCATCTCTGTTCGGAGTTGGAGCTGCAGGAGTGTAACCCCACGGCCTGGATGTCAGCACCTGGGCTCTGGGGCAGCCCTCTGGAGAAGCCGGGAGGAGCCACAACCCCAGAATCCCAAGGCCACCTGGCAGCCCTCCCTGGGGTTTCCTAAGGACCCGGTTTCCTCCACACTGATAACCACACCGACCTCCTCAAGAGCTGGCTCCAGGCGCCTGAATGAGACTTACAGCCCAGAACCAGCTCCATCCTTTATACGCCTGTCAAGGAGCCACAGGAACATCCCTGGTAGCTTCAAAGGACCTAGAACCAGGATCTAAAACACATCTCGCCACCAGGGGGCAGAGTCCAGGGGCCACTGCTTCAAAACCAGAGGTGGTTAATACTGGAGGCTTCTAGCTTTGCTGAGGATCTAAAGGAAAGGGGGCCTGTCTGTGGGACCCCCCCCCCCCAGTCAGGACATCCCACCCTCACCGTGACATCATACTTCAGCCCCTCTCCCCAACTCCAGACATAGCCAGCGCTGAGATTTTCTTCCTGTGGGCTGTGTGAGCTCCATGCTTTCCCAGACCACATGACCTTGGCCTGCAGCCCCCAGTAGGACCCTCTTTAAGTCCCCCCACATGACAGCCCCAATCCTCAGCTCTCCCACCCCAGCACCACCATGCAGACATCCTAGCAGTCCGTCATGTGTCCACCAACTGGGGCAGGAACCTGAGTCACCCATGTCTGCCATCTTGGGGTCACAGTCAACAATATCACAGAATTCTGAGGGTCCTGTCTGGCCCCCAGGCTAGGAAGGCCCAAGAAACCAAAGGCAAAGACAGGGAACAACTCATCAGATCCTCCTACAGGTCACGCAGCCGGGCTCTGGGGTCCTTCACTCCCACCCTGCTCAGCTCCACCCCAGGTCCCTGCTTCCAACACGCTTCCTCCTGGCTCCCGACCCACCACACCACCAGGTTCCAGGTGCACTCGGCACCGACGGGCTTCTTTTTCTGATCTGACTCTGGCTGTCAAGGCTGAGGCGATGCGGACAGTGTTCGTGGTGTCGCCAGACCCTCATGAGCAAACCTCTCTCTCTCTCTCTCTCTCTCTCTCTCTCTCTCCATCTGTGAGCACGTGACTTCTTTCCTCCGTGTGTGTCCGCACCTCCGTGCTGGAGGCTCCCCAGGGCCGGGGTAGCGTTTTCCTCTTCAGTCTGGAATCTGTCTGAGACAGATTTGGCATCTTCCCATGGCCCGCAGCCCAGTGTGCCAATCTGAAGGGACTTCGAAGAGGACACGAAGTGACAGGCAGATGGACGGCAGCCCCCGCCCCCTCTCAGCCCTTCCAGGGTTTTCTATGGGTCCCACAGGCCCTGTGTTCACTCCTGTCACTCCACCAGCGGGCCCCCTCGGCCCTCTGAGGCAGTCTGGGCTACAGCCACTCGGGGAGGGGAGCCTGGCATGCTCGGCCCAGAAATCGGCTTTGATAAAAGGCCAGTGAGAAGCTACGGCTTCTGGCAGGGCTCCGTCCCTTCTGCCACACTCCCGTTTCCTGTGCCTCCAACTGCAGTGCGGCCCAGTCCTGGGTGGGAAGCCCCAGCGCAGAGGGCCTTGGGACCTGCCGGGGGCTGCACCGTGACTTCCTGCTGTCACAGGAACTAGAAGACAGTCCTGGGACCTCGCCACAAGGAGGGGGGCCCCCTCTCTCCCAGGCCGTGCTCAGCTGGGGGCTCACCCAAGCGGGTCCCAGCCCTCCCCTCCCATCCATCACCTCTGGCTCTCACACGCCCTTCTTGGAGACAGGGTTTGTGAGGGATTGACAAGCTCTGCAGCCAACCAGGGATCCCAGCCCAGGGAAGAGAAGGCAGCAGGTGAGCCGACGTGCAGACAGGCCATGGGAACCCAGAGTGAGAGGAGAAGCAGCCAGGCCTCTGGGGATGCCGCCAGCCTGGCTCGGCCCATGGACAGGGACCAAGTGTGAAAAGTTCTGTCCCAGGGGTGGGTGCGCCTCTGAGCTCGGAGGGGAGCCAATGCCGAGCCTGCAGGAACCACAGTGTCAGGGTGCACAGAGGGCTAGAGGCAGACACATTTGAGCAGCTCGACTGGGAAGTGAGACATCCCGGTTGGAGGCACTGGGGGCCAGACACAAAGCAAAGGAGGAGCTCCATCCCTGACTCAAAACAGCTCTCAGCAGCCGCTGATGCCTGCCCCCATTTCTCCACTAGAGCTCACACCTTCACAGCCTCTCCAGGACCCCTGAGGGAGTTCAGATGTCCCCAGAGTCCTTCTGGACTGTAGTGATGTGATATTGTGATTTAGGGTAAGAAAGACATATTTGGTCTTAACACCCTGTTTCTGGCACAGAGCTCCCAAAACCCTCGGAATTTCCTAAGTGATGAGGGCGGTAAAGGTGCCTTTTGTTGTATTAATGAGGTGACCAGGAAAGCAAGACCATGTGATTAGAGGGTTGGAACTTTCAGCCCCACGATCCCCCCATTCCCCAGCCACCCCATCCTCCAGGGAGGAATGAGGGGCTAGAGATTGAGTTTAATCACCAATGACCAATGATTTAATCATTCTTGCCTGTGTAATGGAGCCACCATAAAAACCCCAAAGAACAGGAACCGAAGCCGTCTGGGCTGGTGAACGCGCAGGTGGAGATGGGGGAGAGTGGTGGCCTGGGAGGCACGGAAGCTCCTGGCCCTCTCCCCACCTTGCTCTCTGCACCTCTTCATCTGGCTGTTCCTACGCTACATCCTTTTACAATAGCCTCTGGGTTCTGGGAGGCGCTCTAGGAAATTAACTGAACCCAAGCACAGGGTCGCTGAAACTTCGAATCTATAGCCAGTTGGTCAGAAGCACAGGTGACCACCTGGACTTGTGACTGGCATGGGGGGTGGAGGGGGGCCGTCTTGTAAGACTGAGCCCGTAACCTGTATAACTGAGTCTATTCAAGTCCCCTGAGAGTTTGGGAGATGCACCCGATGATGCATGTCCCCACTTGGACATCGATTCCCTGTGTGACTTCAGTCACCCTCTCTCTCTAGGTCTCACAGTGATGCCATTCAGAGCCCTGCTCAGACTGGCCACTTCTGATTCTCCAAGCCAGCCAGGAGCCTCCACACACACACACACACACACTCACACTCACACTCACACTCATAGACACACACTCACACTCATAGATGCTCACACTCATCTACTCATACACTCACACACACGCTGTCACATTCACATACTCGCATACACTCACACCCATACACACACTCCATGGGGCAAGGTAGCCCCACTCTGTCCGAAATAACTCAGCCCAAAACCCCCCACCGTATCCCACCCCCTGAGACGCCACAGGGAGGAAGCTTTACCAAATCGATCATTCCCCCAGGGCATCCTGGGAGGCTGGCCCTAAGGGAAGGTCAGGAATTCCACTGACCAGGAAGAGAGAACCCTGCAGGGTATATTTAGCTCACTCAAAATAGCAGGAGGCGAGAGTTGAGGGCTGGAAATTGTCTGGGAGAACTGGGAGAGCACTGGGCAGGCTGGGGGAGGGGCGGGAGGACAATGGAGGAAAGGAAGGGCTCTGACAGGTCCCGGTGCCAGGGGAGAGGGATGTCTGTCTCCCTTCCCTTGTGATCTGTGACCCAGATGACTCAGCTTTTCTGGATCTGGAGAAGGAGGTTGGGTGGTGAGAAAAGCTGCCAGGGAGACTGGGGTGGGGATACCCAAGGATGCGGGGAGCTTGGGAAGACCAACACCAGGAAGGGACCCAGGGCAGCCAAGGATGACTGAGCCTGCAGGTGGGACCAGGCTGCCTGTGGACCCCCTCCCCTCTCTTCCAGCCCAGAGCCCTCCCAGGCACCCTGAGCCCTGGTGGGCAGGCCCAGACCTGGCTGCTGGGAGTTGGGGTCACACAGCTCTGGGGTCAGAAAGGCAAGGCCTCAGCTCGGAAACGGGCCTGTGCAGGGGCTCCGTGAGCTCTTACCCCTGTGGGCTGCTTCTTGGTGTCCAGCAGCGGGGCATTGAAGCTGGCAGACAGGCTGGGGGTGGCGAGGACCTCCCGGAGTGGGATCTTGGCTTCCCCCAGGAACCTGAGAGGAGGGAAAAGTAGAATATAGAAAACTGGCCTGTGCCCGGCTCATCTCTCACCACACCCCTCACCACCACCACTGATGGGGAGCATAAGACATTTTGGGGGCTAGCAATCTGAATTTGTCCCAGCAACCTGCTTTCTACTGCACTCTCTTGCTAGCTGATAATTAACTCCATTTGTGAAAGAATGTAGGAGACTAGCAGCAGACTCTGTACCTAAGTGAATCAATGTTCCTAAGGCACATTCATGTTAGCCTATAGCAGCCGTGGGCAAACTACGGCCCGCGGGCTGGATCCGGCCGTTTGAAATGAATAAAACTAATTAAAAAAAAGACCGTACCCTTTTATGTAATGATGTTTACTTTGAATTTATATTAGTTCACACAAACACTCCATCCATGCTTTTGTTCCGGCCCTCCGGTCCAGTTTAAGAACCCATTGTGGCCCTCGAGTCAAAAAGTATGCCCACCCCTGGCTATAGTCTAGTGCAGTGGTTCTCAACCTTGGCCCTTAAAATCCCCGGGAATCTTTTAAAACCCGATTTTCGGGCCTCCCCTCCGGAAATTCTGTTTCTTTTTTATGGGGTGGGGCCCCACCTTAATAACAAAGAAACAGAATTCCCGGAGGATGAGGCCCAGAAACCAGATTTAAAAAAGATTCCCAGGTGATTCTAATGTGCAGCCAAGGTTGAGAACCACTGGTCTAGTCACTGCCCCTTCCTTAGTTATCTGGTCCTGCAAGAACTAATTTACCTAAATACTTCCAATCTACAAGGGGCCCTCAACCAAGGATGTGACAGCTTACCTAGAGGGAGGTCACTGGCGCCATACAGGATGGACATTAGATACAATCTCAGTTAACCATCTAACTGATTCTCGAGGGGGTGGGGGGGCTGTGAGAGTCCTCCACAGAAGCTGGTAGTTAGGAAACAAAGAAACTCAGAAATATATAAGGAGAAAATCTCATTGTCTAAGTTGTCAGGACCTGGGTCTTAGGGTCCCCAGAGCCAGCAGCGCTGCTTGAATAAAGGCTCTTTCCTGAACCCCGGAGTGTCCAGCTGTCCCTTCCGCGCCAACTCCATAAACTCCATGTTCCATAACACCACCACCACGCAAGCCACACAGACAGGCTGATCTGCCTAGAACGCCAGAGTCCCTTAGGACCCCTCCTCCTCGTCACCCCATCACCATCCCTGGAGGGCCAGGCCCCTCTCCCTGCACAAGAGGGACACCTTCCCTTCCCCCAAGGTCAACTTTGACCCCTTTCTGCCCCTCCCCGGAGGCCCAGCCCTCCACCCCTGTCGGCCTGGGTGCCCCACAGAAGGGCTTGTCTTGGCCCTCAGACCTCAGCAATCCACCACCTGGGCGTCTCGTAAAGCAGGGGCAGTCCCTCAGCACATCTGCATCGCTCCCAGGCCCCAGCAGCACACTGACCCAGTCTACACAGGCGTCTGCACAGGTCTCCTAGAGCTTGGCCAGCAATGATTATACATGAAAAACAAACACACCGTCCTGTCTCTGAGGGCAGCCCATGACGGTCACACCTCACACACCAGAGGCCGCAGCTCTCACTGAGGGGAGGGGGCCCCATACACGATGGGCTCTTAGGAATCAGTAGGTTGCCACGCGAGCATCAGTGAAGGGCCCTTCAAAGAACGCCAGGGAAAACGGTTATGTTCCGTAAGCTATGAAAGGGGCCAACAGCATTCCGCAGTGGCAGAAGGACAGCAAGTGGCCTGTGTCCACCACGACTGTGGCCTGGTGCTTGCCCTGAACTTCTGCACGCCTCCTGCGCACAGCCAAGGCACTGCCACAGGTGTCCTCTCATCTTCTGCTTTTTCATTTTCTTTCCTCGTGAATAAATAGCACATCTGGTCTCTGTAACAACTGATTTGAATGTGGGTTTTTATAATCTCATGAAATGAAATTTTAATCTTGACCTAATTAGCTGATAATTTTTTTTATCCTCACCCGAGGCTGTGTTTTACTGATGAGAGAGAGAGAGAGAGAGAGAGAGAGAGCGAGGAACATCAGTGTAAGAGAGAAGCACCTATCAGTTGCCTCCTGTCTGTACCCCAACCAGGGATCAAATGTACAACCTTTTGGTATATGGACATTCCAACCAATGGAACCACCCAGCCAGGGCTAATTAGCTGATTTTAAAAACTGGCTGCTTACAATGTCACACCCATTAGGTGAAGGGAGGGAAGGAGGGAGGGAGGAAAGAAGGAAGAAAGAAAACTACAAATGTTGTTGAAGCTGTGGAGAAATTGGAACCCTGTGCACTGTGAGTAGGAATGAAAAAGGTGCAGCCACTGTGGAAAACAGAACAGTGGTTCCTCGAAAACTGAAAAATAGAATACAATCCGACCCAGCAACTCCACTTCTGGTATTTACCCAAAGAATTAAAATCAGGGACTCACAGAGATATTTGTCAGCCCACCTTCACAGTAGCATTATTCACAATAACTAACAGGTGGGAGCAACCAAGAGGCTATCAGCAGATGAAAGGATAAATAAAATGTGGCAGATACATACAATGGATCGTTATTCAGACTTAAAAAGGAGAGGAATTCTGACATCTGCTACAAGGGGGGGGGGGGGACGGTGAACCTTGAGGACATTATGCTAAATGAAATAAGACAGACACAAAGGGGTAAAAATCGTATGACTCTACTTACATGGCAAAGTAGGCAAGTTTTCAGAGACAGGAAGTAGAATAGCACTTATCTGGGGCTGAGTAGAAAGGAGGAAGAGGGGCTAAAATTTAGTGAGTACAGAGGGTCAGTGTAGAGCAGTGATGGCGAACCTTTTGAGCTCGGCGTGTCAGCATTTTGAAAAACCCTAACTTAACTCTGGTGCCGTGTCACATATAGAAATTTTTTGATATTTGCAACCATAGTAAAACAAAGACTATATTTTTGATATTTATTTTATATATTTAAATGCCATTTAACAAAGAAAAATCAACCAAAAAAATGAGTTTGCGTGTCACCTCTGACACGCGTGTCATAGGTTCGCCATCACTGGTGTAGAGGGACAAGAGTGCTCTAGAGAAGGATGGTAGTGATGGTTGCACAACAGTGTGAATGTACTTAACGCCACTGAGCGGTACACTTTGAATGGAGCAAAAGGGGGCTGTGTAAAGACCTGTGGCCCAGGTCACAGCGGGCATCACGTCCTAGGCCCATGGCTTCCTTCCAGGAAATTAATCTTTACCTCAAGGGAGCCCTGCCCCGTGTTCTCACGCATCTAGGATAGCATAACTTTGAAATGTCAGAGTCATTTTCTTTTCCTACCCTGGAAGGCACAGCCCCAGGCACCAGATCACTAGACCACAGAGCACTTCCTTGTCATCTTGTTCCCGGCATTCCATCTCCATGTGCTGTAAATGCTCACTGTCACTCATCCTGTACCCACCAGTGTGAAAGTATGTGTCTAATTTGCAGTCTATCCAATCCTAGAGGTTTCTCCGCTTTGCTTTCTCCTGCCTCTACCACCAAGGGAGTCCGTGCACCTTCCTTATGTTTCCTCCTTTGATTCTAGGTGCATAACAGGGTCTGCAAAATGGGCATTCCCGGGAGCATTTTCTCAATCCCTTGAGACCTTGCTTCCGGGCATGTCCTCAAAATTTGGGTCAAATAAACTCATAACCCTTTTCTTTGCTGACCCTGGTTAAATTGGTTACGTTTTGTCATGTATATGTTACGATGCTAAATAAATAAACTAGCTGCTTAAGTAAGCTTCTGCACAACAAAATCCCTCCTTTTCCATCCCTCTGGGAACCAGCAGACTCTTGGCCACCTTGCAGGTCCCTTGCCAGCAAGGCAATACGCCTGGTGTACGTGCAACACCAGCATTTTTCTAACATCTCTTTAGAGAAAGGACTAAAAAGACAGATGTTCACTAACACTCATTCTGGGTTCTGGTAGAGACCATGCCAGTAGCGTCACATTTTCTAGGATTTGGGATGGTTTGTGCTACATTTCCTCAGAGTGTGAAGCAAACTTGTACCACAGTTCACTGAGGGCTCTGGAGAGTCTCCATCCCAGGGCCAGCGATGGGGAGATGTCTGTCCTCGGGACCCAGGCGCTATCAAAAAGACCAGATTGGTTGAGCACTGTCCCGTGCACCGAAGCGTTGCCAATTCGGTTCCCGGTCAGGGCACATACCCAGGTTGTGGGTTTAATCCCCGGCGGGGAGCGTTTGGAAGGCAACTGATGGATGTTTCTCTCTCACACAGTCTCTGTGTCTCTGTGTCTGTGTCTGTCTGTCTCTCTTTCTCTTGCTCACTGTCTCTCTCTCACTGTCTCTCTCTCCCTTCCTCTCTCTAAGCATGTACTCAAGTGAGGATTTAAAAAAAAAAAAAAAGATCAGATGGTGGGTATAGAGGACCTGCGTATCCACGTGACACTGGTGATCAGTGACCCTGTCCTTCATGGGAACACCAAGGCCGCAGAGTGGAGAGGCTCCCCTGAGAGGGG